AGCAGACTGCTGCCTGATCTTCTGCTTTTCTCCTTGCATTTTGAAGCTGCCGTCTCTGTCACATGCCATTGAGAATGCTACTCTGACTTATCCTTGGTCTCAAATTTCACACCTGTTAGGGTAATTTGTATTTTTGACAGACCGATTCCTCAGACAGATATCTCTATTTAGATCATGCCCTAATCAAATTTTAGCCAAAACGTGTGAGAGACAAATATTTCTACTGTTATGACTTTAAATTTAAGTATAATAATTTTCTAGTTTTTTACTAAGACTCATTTTCATTACCCTCATGTTTCTGTCCTCAAAGTTATAGTAATAGATGCTAAGCATAGATACTGATTACAAAGGAACAAAGTTACAATTCATTTTGAAAGTAAATTAGCTTATTTTAATTATCAGACTAAGGTCACTAACTGTTGAATTAATTAGTACTAATGCCACCCTTGACTGCTTCTTTTTTCTTGTCTTATTTACCCTACATCCTGACATCTTGATTAGCTTACAGAAACACAAAATTATATTTTTGAAGGCTGCCTATTTGGATAGAGTATCAAAAGATACATTAAATATTTTTAATAGCATACATTTACAATATTGTGAAAAGTTCTATAGTAATATGCATTAAAAGAATATCTTCAAAATAATGTCAGCACTAGAAAAAAATTCCAGAAGTAGAGAATTATTATTCTTATGTTTTCACTGGAGCTCCTTAGAGTTCCGTAACTTAATGTCTGAAGTTATTTTGAGGGAGCTGTTTTAAATTGTCCAATTCTGCAGATAGGGAGAGGAGGGTATAGAAATTATTCTACCACTCCTAGCTGAAACTTCAGGAGGTTTTTGATATCCCAGATTGTAATCCATAAGTTAGAAAATTCAAATAATAAGTAATTCTCAATCTGATTGTAGTAGCAAACATTGGAGTAATAATATGTTTGATTATGGCATTAAATGACTGAAGATTATTATACCAGAACCAGATATATATGATGGGTCATTCCTTGCCATAAGCCAACCAGAATAAGCAGCAATTAGGTTGTCTCTGCTCTTTGAGAGAGTACCTGAGTCTTGAACATGGTAACTAAAAAGAAGAAAGTGACACTAGCTGCTTAGTAAGCAATAACTGTTGTTCATTTGAATTACAATTCTCATTGGCCCCCCACCTGCTTTCTTACTGGTCTGGCCTACCTTCTTTCAGGCCCAGGCCTGGGAGTGCTTGCAAGATATAGTTGGGGTAAAATGTTGACTTTTGGTGGACACCACGGAGTCACATTGATGCAGATAAGGCACATGGCTGTGGCAGGATTCAGCTCCTTCATCAATTTTCAGGTTAGTATGGCTGAATCAATTATAGTTTGTAGAAGTTCCCCTACTGCAGACTTTACTGGCAGTTGAGACTGGGATCTTTCTTCCATGAGAGACATGGTGATATGCCACATTACTTTGGAATACAATAGTTGGTCATGGTTGCAGTCATAAGGAGAACCACCTGTAGAATTTGTTTAATTTATTCAAACTTTTATTTTTTTAGATAATCCTTCCTCAGACAGTTTTCTTGGCTCAGGCGACTTAAGAACCTTTGGCCAGAGTGCAAATGGCCAATGGAGAAATTCTACTCCATCATCAAGCTCATCTTTACAAAAATCAAGAAACAGCCGAAGTCTTTACCTCGAAACCCGAAAGACCTCAAGGTTGGTATTTTGTCATCTTAGTTCTCAAGCCCTTCCTCAGATATAAGAGAAAGTGACTAAAAGGTAGATAGTTATTACGTGGGGATTTTAAAAGAGTAACACCATCTTTGGACTTTAAACCTTAAGGATATGAACAAATCCATTTTACATTTTCAACTTCTCATTTACTTAGTGCTGAATTTTGATGATAGCTAAATTTTACTGGAAGAGAGAATTTTAAGTAAATCTTGGTGGATATGAGAATATTGGGACCCTTCAAGATCAGTATGACTCTTGCAAATCTTAAAGTGAAAATCAGTCAATCTCTGCAATTTGAGCGGAAAGAAACACATTTTACAGCTGTCATGTGAGCAGAGACCTGACTTAAACTAAAGCAGTTCTCTACCTCATGACATTAGTCAAGTAGATCAAGCTACTTCTATATATTAGAAAATAAAAAGAGTCACAGGCCAGGCACGGTGACTTATGCCTGTAATCTTAGCACTTTGGGAGGCCGAAGCAGGTGGATCACCTGAGGTCAGGAGTTGCAGACTAGCCTGGCCAACATGGTGAAACCCCGTCTCCACTAAAAATACAAAAAAATTAGCCATGCATGGTGATGTGTGCCTGTAGTCCCAGCTACTCGGGAGGCTGAGGCAGGAGAATCGCTTGAACCTGGGAGGCAGAGGTTGCAGTGAGCTGAGATCATGCCACTATAGCTGCAGCCTAGGCGTCAGAGTGACCTCGTCTCAAAAAACAAAAAAGATAGTCATAGAGAACTTTATCCTAGTTATTCCAACTTCATAAGCTCTACCTAACAAAACTTACATGGATTATTAAAGGCAGATGAAATTTGGCTTAGAAACTTTTTCCCTCAGGTATTTTATTATATTATTATTTATTATAGTATTATATTAGTAAATATCTCTTTTTAAAAATAGTATTTATGACTACTTAAATTCTGCCCTGGTGTATTTTAGGAATGTGGGATCATTTAATGTACTGTTTAGTCAAGTTTGAGCTTTGTGGTGTTGATAGAAGCCAACAAGATGACTTTTATTTTATTATACACATGGACTCCAGGAACATGTGTCAGTACTCCCTGGGATCATGTTCCTCACTTAACTTTTAAAAAATTATACAGTAATTCACTCATATACTCACACTGTAGAAATCAGTATGTTACCAACAAAGCTGAAGATCCCTTGACTGCTACCCACAATCCCAATCCCTTCTCCTTGGTGTGTTTCCTTCCAAACCTTTTCCTATACCTGTTTCTTTCTTACTCTTTCTTACTCATATATAGTATGATATATATGTTATGTATACTATTAAATGCATGATATTATTTTGTCTTCGTTAAAGGTTTTCTCTATGCATCATTTTGCAGGTGGCTTTTTTAATGCAATAAAGCCATACTGTTATTTTAAAAAAAAATGTTATTACAGAAATAGTACAAATACTTTGGAAAAATTTAGAAAACATAGTTAAGAAAAATAAAAAATGAAAACATCATATTGCCACCAGCCTGAGATCAACTCTGTAATATCTCAGTACATATCCTTCTACCTAGTTTACTTTTTTCCAAAATGAGTTCATAGTGTACGTGTTCTTTTGTAAATTTTATTTTATACCCTAAGTCATATTTAAATTTTCTCAGGTGACCCAGTTAGTTTGGTTTTGCATCTGGAAGTTATTGGCTTTGTCTCTTATAATTAGAACAGCCTCCTTTTTTTTTTTTTTTTGAGACGGAGTCTCGCTCTGCAGTAGTGTGATCTCGGCTCACTGCAACCTCCGCCTCCTGGATTCAAGCGATTCTCCTGCCTCAGCCTCCTGAGTAGCTGGGACTACAGGTGCCCACCACCACGTCCAGCCAATTTTTGTATTTTTAGTAGAGACGGCGTTTCACCATATTAGCAAGGCTAGTCTCAAACTCCTGACCTTGTGATCTGCCTTCCTTGACCTCCCTTCCTGGGATTATAGGCATGAGCCACCATGCCCGACCTCAGCCTCCTTTTTTTAAATGACATGACTTTTCTGTATCATGTTCTACTTTTTGGATTTGACAGGTTGCTTCCACGTGGTATCATTATTTTGTCAAAAAATCACCTGTATTTTTTATAAGCTAGGTTTTTGATGTGACTAAAAGGTGATGCTGCGTTTATCACATTTGAAAAACAGTGTCTTGTTTTAGTTCTATTATTCATGATACTAGACTGACCTCTGGATTGAGGAACTGACAATCTGGTAGTTAATTGTACAATTACGTTTTTCCCCTGTGACTTGAATGTAATCTAAATAATGTTACTTTGGCATTATATGAATGATGAATTTCACATCAGCCATCACCTAATAATTAATATCATTTGATAATACTTAACTGATAATAGTTTTATTACAGTTAATGAAATAATATTTTTCTAATTTTATCACTTCTACACTTCCTAATTGGCATTCTGATTGCATTTTTCCTTTGCTGGAGCTGTTAGAGTCCCTGAAATGTGTTTCCTATGGGAAAGGCAGGATAAATGATTAGATTTTACTTTTTCATTACCAGTTTTCAAAGCAAGGTTTTTGTAAAATAGACACTTCATATGTTTCAAATGAATTTGTCTGTTCCTTTTTTAGTGTCATTATGGATTCAGTGTTTTGCAATCCACTATAATTGTTATACTTTTAATGCCCACATTCTCAGAAATTTGGCTAGTGGAAGCCCCTTAAGCTTGCTTCTCTGTCTGTTTGACCTTAGCTTATTGATTTTGGGTAACAACCTTGCTTTCTGGCATTGCAGGATGCCCTTGTACTGTTTCTTTAGAAGAGTAATATTTTATGTTAAAAAACATGCATAGGTGCACACATACTCTGGGAAACACAAATACAAAAGACATTGTGGAGAATCCATCATGTGTTTACTAAACAATTACACTGCCCTTGCCATCTTTTCCTGGCTGCATCCACTCATCCTAAGAAAACAAGCCTGTTCCTAAAATTTTAAGTCCTTGCTTGTTTCCCCATTCTTTTTTTTTTTTTTTTTTTTTGAGAGAAGCAAGAATATGAGTTTAATTTAACGTCAACAATGACACTGTAATAGCACAGGGAAGAGGCAGTGGAGAGAGGTGGTCAGGCTTCCTGTTTCTTAACTAGCCTTGATTTTAACAGCAGAGCCCCAGCAACCTAGAAGTGCCTCACCTAGCCTCTTAATGGAGTGGGAAGGGGCAGGGACTTGGAAATTAGAGGCTCAAAATGTAAAGAAGGCTGATGGCAAGCCTGAGGAGAGGCCTGGAAATGAGGGAAGGGCTGAGGGCTGTGAGGAGTCCTCACACGAAGACCCTAGTGCAGATCTTCAGCAGTGAACATGCCCCTGGCCCTGCGCAGGATGGAGTCCTTGGTGGCATCATATGGGTGCTCCTTGGAGGGGGTCTCCAGGACAGTGGGGATGGAGTGCTGGTGGGCGTCCAGGGCCTGCCGCACCATTTCTGCTGTGTACTGGTTGATGAGGATGATGCCGATGTCATCCTGGTTTAGAAATTGCCAGAAAGTGTCTTCGATCTCATGAATGGTTGTATCCTTCTCCATCACCTGGAAATTGGGGTGGCTGTTCTTGTTAAGCTCCCCTATGCCGCCCAGCAGGAAACGAGTCACTGTGTCCTCGTCTCCCATCACTGTGATGAGCTTCCCTCTTCCCGCCATCCTCGCAGCTGGGCAGAGCTCACCCCAGAGCACCAGAAGCCACTCTCATTTCCCCATTCTTAACACATATACAAACCCAAGAAGACTTAAAGAGAATTGTGCACTTTTTGATTTTCTTTAGATCTTGTCTGATTTGGATTCAGAACACATATAATGATTTTAAAGAGTTGATTTCATTGAATTTAGAATATTCAGCTGTGTTTCTGTAGTCTGAGTCTTGAAGAAAAAAGAAAATTTATTATGCTAAGAATAAGTACTTCAAACTTTCCAGGTAATGATAGATGAGAAAGAGCGCATAGAAAAACTCAGAATTGGCTGGGTGCTGTGGCTCACACGTGTAATCCCAACACTTTAGGAGGTTGAGGCAGGCAGATCACCAGAGGTCAGGAGTTAAAGATCAGCCTAGCCAACATGGTGAAACCCCGTCTCTGCAAAAATACAAAAATCAGCTGGTTGTGGCGGTGGGTGCCTATAATCCCAGCTACTGGGGAGACTGAGGCGGGAGAATCACTTGAACCCAAGAGGTGGAGGTTGCCATGAGCCGAGATCATGCCACTGCCCTCCAGTCTGTGTGATAGAGCAAGAATCCATCTCAAAAAAAAAAAAAAAAAAACTCAAAATTAGTAAGCCTTGGATGTGAGACAGGGTTTTTGAGTTCACAATATTCTTCATGCCAATTTTCCAGTTTTCCCCCTTAGATGGTATAAAGAGACAAAAAATTATTCAGAGGAAGTAAATAGGCCAGAAGGAGAATTTAATGACGCAGCCTAATAGTTGTTTTTAATGAAGGATGGGAGCCCTCTGTTGGGCTTTAAGGAAATTTTAAAATTCAGTTTAAAAGCTTAGTTGAGAGGCTTCAGCCTTTATGCATTTTTACATATTTAATCTTAATTTCCTCCAATAGGCTGAGTATCGGGTACGGGGAATAATAGAAAATGTTTTTTTTTTTTAGCATACCTGGAACCCAGGTCTTTTGAAGACATCTAATCTGTTATGCTTTGTCATACCACAAAGCTATATTGTTCCTGACCAAAAGAAATTCTAGATTGTGGATCTAAAAATACAGTTTTAAGTATTTGATAATTTTGTGTTTTGACAATGTAAGATCTTTTAAGTGGCAGAACCTGATGCAGCATCCTTATATGTCATTTATTCATTTATCGTATATTTCCCTCAAATGGTACCACCTATTGTTTTACCTGTTTTGTTTGGTTGGTTTTATATTTTGAAAGTGAAAATAGTCACTAGATTAGATTTATTTTACTTATTGTCTGTTCTTATCTTTCTTACAAACTCTTTTTTATTTTTAGTGGATTATCAAACATTTTTGCGGGAAAGTCAAACCATCACTGCCATGTATCTGCGTATGAAAAATCTTTCCCTATTAAACCTGTTCCAAGTCCGTCTTGGAGTGGTTCATGTCGTCGAAGCCTTTTGAGCCCCAAGAAAACTCAGAGGCGACATGTTAGTACAGCAGAAGAGGTAAGGAAAACCTGTGACAAAAGCTACTAAAAGTTGGGATCTTTCCCTACATTGAGCCATTTGCTGCCTATTAATAATTAGTTGTTTAAGAACCATTCTATTTTATCCTTCCTGTGCTTTTTCTGTCTGAATTACTCTTTTTGAGTATTATCATCTCTTCTAAAGAGATTAAAGAGATGTTTTATCAGGACTTCATTATTTGTCTTACTTTTATATTTTCTATTCCTGCTGTACAACTGACTTTACTTAATCTTTAGTGTTGCCTGAATGGTTTCTCATACATCAAACTCACTCTCTCTTTGATCTTTGCTAGACCCTTCCTAAACCCTTGTCTCCTGTGGAAAAACTGTTAGTCTTCCTCAGCAGTTTTTGATAAAATTTGATTTTGGTCCAGGTGAGGTGGCTCACGCTTTTGATCCCAGCACTGTGGGAGGCCAAGGCAGGTGGATCACTTTAGCCCAGGAGTTCGAGACCAGCCTGGGCAACATGGAGAAACCCTGTCTCTACAAAAAATATAAAAATTAGGCAGGCTTGGTGACTCATGCCTGTACTCCTAGCTACTGGAGAGGCTGACGTGGGAGGATTGCTTGAGCCCAGGAGGTTGAGGCTGCAGTGATCTGTGATTGTGTCACTGCACTCCAGCCTGGGCATCAGAGTGAGACCCATCTCAAAAAAAATTTTTTTGTTTTAATTTGATGAAATACCTGTTCTTCTTACTAGGAACAATTTTTCTTCAATATAAGAGAAAAATCAAGAAGCTAAACAATTTATATCCTTTTATTATGAGTAAGACCTTTTTTGAAGTTACAGACTCCTGAAAAGAAAGATGTTCTGTTGACACTTGGGTTGTTATATTCATTCAGTAAACCTAAAAGAAAAGTCAATTTCATGAATATAATGTAGCATATAATTCGCATGACAGAATGTGTGCACATGTCTGTTAGATTACATATTTAATGTACGTCTAATTGCTATGGTTGCTTGGAGATACAAATGAATAATAATTACCTTACATTTAAATAGCATTAGTGCTTCCAGTGTATTTTCCATGTGTATTATTGTTTTTAATCCTTTTAACTCAGCAAAATAGGTAGAGATGAGGTAATAGTCATGTTTTACAGATTTGGAAAATAAGAGTCATAGGTTACATGACTAGTAAATGGCAGGCCTAGAACCGAGAACTTCTGAGGAGGTTTGGTCAAGTATGCTTTCTGTTGTCCAACACAGCAATATGGTTCCTGCCCAATGAAGCTTACTGAGTATAGAGTCAAGAATACAGTATTGCATGCTAAATAATTACATAATTTGGTAATCAGTGATCTCTTAGGTGTCAAAACTTGATTATTTGTGATATGGTTAGTAAAAATGCTGTTCATATTTTTGGTTTAAAGTTTGTATTGAATCTGAAACGTTTGGCTGGGCACGGTGGCTTATGCTTGCAATCCCAGCACTTTGGGAAGCCAAGGCAGGAGGATTGCTTGAGGCCAGGAGTTTGAGACCAGCCTAGGCAACATAGTGAGATCCTGTCTCTACAAAATAAATTAGCTGGGCATAGTGGCAGGTGCCTGTAGTTCCAGCTGCTCAGGAGGCTGAAGGAGGAAGATCATTTGAGCCCAGGATTTCAAGGCTGCGGTGAGCTGTGATTGTGCCACTGCACTGCAGCCAGGGTGACAGAGCAAGACACTGTCTCAAAAAAAAAAAAAAAAAAAGAAAAAACCAACATTCAAGTGGAGGGTGGCAGAATACTAAGTCATTTAGCAGGGTAAGGGATAGACAAGAAACTGGCAACATTTGCCTTTGGTGGTAAAGCTGAGCAACAATGATAAAAAGGAGATTTTTAAAAAAAATAAACATTTTTTTTTCATTACACAAATTTTCATGTCATCCTTGTACAGGGACCATGCTAATCTCTATATTGTTCCAGTCTTAGTATATGTGCTCCTAAAGTGAGCCCAAGATTTATTTTTCATTATACCTTTTATGCTATTGAATTTTATATTATATTTAAATTATTTTATGCATAAATAATTACTGGAGTTGTGGGGTTTGTGATTATGCTGGAGTCTAGACAGCCTAAAGGGTACAGAGAGACTTTGTGGAGGAGACAGCAGCAGCATGACAGCTGGGTACAGGGCTCCTAACCCTCCCCTGCCCCATGTTTCTGTTGCTCAGTCTCACCAGGATCCTTTAATTCTGTGTTCATTGTAAGTTTGCCATTCACCCACCAGCTCTGTGGACTGTTCAGCCTTTCTTCCTTTTGCCTCCTCTGCCAGCCTGAAGACTGGGGGTTGCTTGGGCAATTTTACCCTTCCAAACAGCCCTCCAGGCCACTAGTTGGGTAAACGGAGAACATGAAGCTGGAGTTTGCCTTCCTCCTGTAGTTCAGAGAAGAAGCTAAGAATCTAATCTATGAAACAAGTGATGCAGATTTTGCCTGTTTTTAGTTCTATGTTCTCCTAGTATGAAAGTTGAGCCACCTGTACTACAGAATAAGCCATATAACATGAGTAATACAAAATATTGGGCCAAACTTTATTATCAAACTTTCAACAAATTTATTTAGATGTTTATTTTTGGATATTACAAATAATTCAGATATAATACTTTTTAACCCTGGGACTAAATTTATTGATGGGAACTTACAAACTGGATGAAAAGTCACTTTCCATGAAACGTTGGGATCCTCAACAGAGGTACATTTGGTTATGTTAAAGGAAGATGTATTAACCTTAATGCCGGATTTGTCCATCAACTTCAGGAATATGAAGTCTTCTACAAAATTAACAGTTAAGATGATGTCACCACTGCACTGCTCAGTCTTGCAACAGAGGTTTGAAGAGAACACATGAAGAAGAATTTAGGTATATGCAAGCAGTGGCTGTGCAGAATGGCTGACTCAAGAGGCAACATCAAAAAGCCGTGCTATTCAGTAGGGTAATAGCTAGCCACCAGCACTGTTTAAATTAATTCAAATTCAAATTTAAAATTCAGTTGCTCAGTGACACTAGCCACATTTTAAGTATTCATTAGCCACATGTAGCCAGGGCAAATATAGAACATTTCTATTATTACAGAAATTTCTGTTAGACAGTGCTGTTATAGAGGATATAAAGTTCTGTTTGGAAAAGAGAAAATACTTGTGACAATAAAAATGTAAAATGGCAAAAACACAGGTAGTTTCTTTTCATTTACATGTTGCTTCTAGATATGCTTCTTTGCAAATTATTGAGCAACGTTTTAAGATACTGGACTTTTGTAATAGGTGACAGTGATGGTTTTATACTTAGAAATGCTTTACAGTTTTGTCATAAGTCAAGCATTTGGGACTCAGAAAATTATTGAAATTTGCACTTTTCATATTTTATATGGTATAAAGTTATTACTTTAAACAAAATGAAAATTAGGAGGAGTATTTATAAAGTTATTGGGGGAATTTATAACAAAACAGTTTATCAGTGTCCTAAAATTTATTTGTGCTATTAAAGTTTTATAATTTTACAGTTCTTTTATGATGGAGC